TAACTGGACTGAAAAAAAAACTAATTTAGCGGCATTTGTTTTTCCTTTATCAGTCTTATTTTTTTCAAATTGTCCACGCATATTGAAGAACATGATTGTTTTACGTTAACATTAGTGGTTATTTTATTAATTTGAAAGATAAACAAGAAATTCAATAGACAGAGCTTACGCTGTCGGTACCAGACACTCAATAGACAGCTTATGCTGTCGGTACCAGAAACTCAATAGACAGAGCTTAGGCTGTCGGTAACAGACACTCAATTGACAGAGCTTATGCTGTCGGTACCAGAAACTCAATAGACAGAGCTTAGGCTGTTGGTACCAGAAACGCAATAGACAGAGCTTATGCTGTCGGTACCAGAAACTCAATAGACAGAGCTTATGCTGTCGGTAACAGACACTCAATTGATAGAGCTTATGCTGTCGGTACCAGAAACTCAATAGACAGAGCTTAGGCTGTTGGTACCAGAAACGCAATAGACAGAGCTTATGCTGTCGGTACCAGAAACGCAATTGACAGAGCTTACACTGTCGGTACCAGAAACTCAATTACAAGAGCTTATGCTGTCGGTACCAGAAACTCAATTGACAGAGCTTATGCTGTCAGTACCAGAAACTCAATTGCAAGAGCTTATGCTGTCGGTAGCAGACACTCAACTGACAGAGCTTATGCTGTCAGTACCAGAAACTCAATTGCCAGAGCTTATGCTATCGGTACCAGACACTCAATTGACAGAGCTGAGGCTTTCGGTATCAGAAACTCACTTGACAGAGTTTATGCTGTCGGTACCAGAAACTCAATTGACAGAGTTTATGCTGTCGGTACCATAAACGCAATTGATAGCTTATGCTGTCGGTACCAGAAACTCAATTGACAGAGCTTATGCTGTCGATACCAGAAACTCAATTGACAGAGCTTATGCTGTCGATACCAGAAACTCAATTGACAGAGCTTATGCTGTCGATACCAGAAACTCAATAGACAGAGCTTATGCTGTCGGTACCAGAAACGCAATTGACAGAGCTTATGCTGTCGGTACCTGAAAATCAATTACCAGAGCTTATGCTGTCGGTACCAGAAACTCAATTGACAGAGTTTAACAGAGTTTATGCTGTCAGTACCATAAACTCAGTTGCCAGAGCTTATGCTGTCGGTACCAGAAACTCAATTTCCAGAGCTTATGCTGTCAGTACCAGAAACTCAATTGCCAGAGCTAATGCTATCGGTACCAGACACTCAATTAACAGAGCTTAGGCTTTCGGTACCAGAAACTCAATTGACAGAGTTTATGCTGTTGGTACTATAAACGCAATTGACAGAGCTAATGCTGTCGGTACCAGAAACTCAATTGAAAGAGCTTATGCTGTCAATACCAGAAACTCAATTGACAGAGTTTATGCTGTTGGTACCATAAACGCAATTGACAGAGCTAATGCTGTCGGTACCAGAAACTCAATTGACAGAGCTTATGCTGTCGATACCAGAAACTCAATTGACAAAGCGTATACTGTCGGAACCAGAACCTCAATTGACAGAGTTTATGCTGTCGGTACCATAAACGCAATTGACAGAGCTAATGCTGTCGGTACCAGAAACGCAATTGACAGAGCTTATGCTGTCGATATCAGAAACTCAATTGCCAGAGCTTATGCTGTCGGTACCAGAAACTCAATTGACAGAGCTTATGCTGTCAGTTCCAGAAACTCAGTTGCCAGAGCTTATGCTGTCGGTACCAGAAACTCAATTTCCAGAGCTTATGCTGTCAGTAACAGAAACTCAATTGCCAGAGCTTATGCTATCGGTACCAGACACTCAATTGACAGAGCTTAGGCTTTCGGTACCAGAAACTCACTTGACAGAACTTATGCTGTCGGTACCAGAAACTCAATTGACAGAGTTTATACTGTTGGTATCATAAACGCAATTGATAGAGCTAATGCTGTCGGTACCAGAAACTCAATTGACAGAATTTATGCTGTCGATACCAGAAACTTAATTGACAGAGCGTATACTGTCGGTACTAGAACCTCAATTGACAGAGTTTATGCTGTCGGTACCATAAACGCAATTGACAGAGCTAATGCTGTCGGTACCAGAAACGCAATTGACAGAGCTTATGCTGTGATACCAGAAACTCAATTGACAGAGCTTATGCTGTCGATACCAGAAACTCAATTGACAGAGCTTATGCTGTCAGTACCAGAAAAACATAGAAGTCATAATGTTTCTCGATTTACAATGTTTATGGTTTAGAAGCCTTACCTGGTTCCTTAGTAATAAAACAATTTGTATTGTCAGCTTAAAAACTGTTCTATGTTTTCTATACACTGCAAAAATATCGGAAAACAGTTATTTTTTCCCCCAAATCGTACCGATTGTAAGTTTGACCTTCATGAACTTTCAATTTTTATATTATTATGCATATACATAGTTAATACGAGAAATTTGAGTACACTTCTTGTGATCTATGCTTACAGAGGGCTCAAAGTGCCAGTTTGATATTCAAAATATATTGCAAACGACTACCGGGGACCGCTTTAATGACAGTGAGACTTTCGTGATCTTACACTATCTAAAGAATTTAGGTTACAGTTTGCTAAGCATATATATTCAAACTTTCAAAAGAATATATCTGAAAATTTCATTTTTAATATGTACGGTAAAGGGCTGGGAGCGTAAAAAAGACCTTCCTGATCTTTTAATCATCATGACATTTAGCACAGATTAAAAGAGAGGCGAAAGATACATAAGGGACATTCAAACTCATAAGTAGAAAATGAACTGACAACGCCTATGCAAAAACCATAAAAGACCAAAAGACAAACAACAGTATACAAAACACAACAAGTAAACGAATATGTAAATACAGATACCATTGAGAGGAAGTTGTGAAAAACTTTAGGTCCTCATTTTGTACGGAGGGCTCACAATGCCAGTTTGATATTCAAAATATCATATCCGACTAAGTAAGACATGACGTGATATTGCTGACTTTGTAAGTCCGCCATCTTTAGTCAAGTTGTCTCATAGAAATTGCATAGGCCCTTCAATAAACTTTTAAGTTTTCCGTTCATTCGACCCATTTTCAATCTTTACAACTCTTTTCTTTGTCTTCGAACATAATTCATCCTAAAAAAAATTGAGGCAGGCAGTTTAAATTTATTTTAAATTATGCCCGTGATCAATTGCAAACATCGTTCATTTTCTCATCGTCCGCCCGTTGACTCTATTGTAAAATTTGCAACCCTGGTGTACTTATGCATCAATTTTGCTAATTCCTTAAACAAAAGTGATAAATTAACTACATTGTGACGCATGAAACATCTCTAGCGGCCAAGATGTTTTAACAGTTTAAATCGATAGGAAATTTTGTCCCTAATTCATCGGAAAATTTGTTTTTTATTGTCGATGTCGGGATTTTTTAAAATGGCGGCTATGTCAATTATTATGTTTATATTTTAGAATACTAGAAGATGCCCGCGAAATCGCGGTACAATTGGGCAAGTCTTGAAACAGAGAGTGTAAATGGTGTCTGTGTTTACACATAAAAAGGGGGCGGGGTCCGGACGTTGGGTGCCTGTGTTTACACATAAAAAGGGGGGAGGATTAATTCGACACGTTCAACGCCCATCTCATTTTCGGACAGTTGTGAACGTGAGTAAAAAGGGTAGATGTCGTTTAATTTAGCAAAATGATGCACTTACAATACAATACAGGATCCTTATAGGCCTAACTGTCCTATTTTCTATCCTTACTTCTTACTTTCACTTGCATTTCGGTCTCTCCCCTTAGTAGTATAGATATTTTTCATTATATAGATGACGGATTTCTGAAGGTTGCATGTATGATCATGTTTAGTATTATAGCAGCTGTTTCCGATGCAAAAACATAAAACTTTTTACAGTCCATACATCTTATAATATCTGTATTAAAATACACAAAGTTATGACACTACATGAGCTTGACAAATTATAAACAGGTAGATACAAGCGTGATATCTCTTTGTCGTTAATGCCTTTTTTATTTTTTCAAATGGTCAGACCCATTGTCCTTTGATGTGTTTGCTGCATAGAAGACGCCAGGAAAAACATCGTCAATGGCTTTAGTTAAACCGGATTCGTCATCACTGCCTATACGAATGTCTATAGTTTGAATTGTTTCGGATAAGGGAGCCTTGAAATGCGATAGAAAAGTGTGGTATGACAAGAAGGATTCTTCCTAGTGAAGGTGCATTGGACCAACAAATATATATGGGGTGAGAACAAGTTTCTTTTGTTTTATAACCCGTATGATTTTGTACACAAAATTCGTAACGAAAACAGCCCCTAAATGAAAAGTTCTATCAATGCTGAGTATACAATAATAAAAAGAAATTAGAACAAAACACACACATATTTATATAAATTATAATTAAATTCTTAATAGAAATAAAACAGTTGATACTAAATATATATATATATATATATATATATATATATATATATGTATATATAAACAAGTCTAAATTGAAAACAACGTTCAAACCTATGATTGCGTTGCATAAAAACCGCAATTTTTATACGTGTGCATGCAAAACAAATTTCTTGGAAGAGGGGTCTGAATACAGCACAAACAACATTTTCCAAAAGACCATAAAAGTGAAAAAGTATATTTTAACAAAACGCATTTGACTAACAGGTCGAACAAAAAATGTTCTTAAACCCTGCTGACTGCCATTGGCGATTGCCAAATAAACGGATCACCGATGTAATAAATGGATCTTAATTTTAAATTTAATACTAAACAGAAAACAATAAACTTGTATATATATATATATATATATATTTAATATCAACTGTTTTATTTCTATTTTATCACTGAATTCTATTCAACTCCTTCCACGATAGTTATGAAATATTATTATGGTTCTAGCAAAGGAGGGAAAAATGAAGAAGAAAAAGAAAATAAGAAAACAAAAGAAGGAGGAATTATTCATTTACATCCTTATCTATAATTTTAGATTTAACTATATTTTACCCAAACATATCGTTCCAATGTGAGTCAGACAGTTCTCAAGTTTAATTATCTGTAACTATCATTTTGTCAGTCTGAATAAAGTCTGGCGTTTTGATAATATGACACTTAATAAAAAAGGTAAAACATAAGGACCCTTCAACAGTAAACTCATCATAGATACCAGTCTTAAAATGAGAAATATCGACATATCATAAATTTAAATAAATCTATTTGCATTTACTTATTGAAATGCCAGCATTGTTTACCAGTATTTTATTCTAGAAATAATTAATCGATCAGATGCATTTCCACCAATTAGATAAAAGTGTAGTACACTTTATTTCTACTTAAGTGATAACCTTTTGTTAGAGGATTTAATGAATATAACAAATAAAAGGCACAATAAATATACAAAGGATAGGATAAAAAATAGACCGAGCCAAAGTAAAACTCTTACAGACCGAAAGAATAAAGGAAGGTTAAATTATCTTAAATCCATCCATATTATCCATTTAACTGCACAATGGAAAGAAGTTGTAATTTGATACATGTTTTATTTGTCAATTCTTTTGACATTTTATATTTTTTAAAAGTCAATGGTTAACTAAATGTGAAGCAATAAGGTCACTGTTATTATATAAACATTGTTAACATAGTCATATAGTATTAGTCTGTTAAAAATCAATAACGTAATTTGTGCTTTTGATGCTGGTTGAAACCCTATACATTGAAGAAAAAATTCAACATCATCCCTTTTCGGAAACGTTCTTTTTTTGCATATAAACCATATCCTAACCAAAAATATTGTTGATCACAAGATTGCAAACAATAGTGTTGATGTGAGACACTTATCTTTTGTGGTAAGGTTATGGCCCATATTAAACTCAATTAAAACTAATGGTAGAAGTGCCATTCTGTTTCTAACTATATGAATCTTGACATGTTTATCTTTATTTCTGTAAGAAAGGGACACAATTATATCAATGTATTAGTTCATCAATAAAACTCATCTACGACTGAAAGGATTTAATGTTTTTCATTCTATCAATATCATAGGCCCAAAAAAAAAATGCTGCATGTTATACTTGAATGCTATTCAGTTACAACAATATGCTTTACTGCAGACATTGAACCAAAGCTGTCGTCATTTCCACTGAGATCATTATCTATGCATATATATATTGATAAATACATTATTAAGCTGTTAATGAATTAAACCATGACTATGTATGACCATACAATTACTAAATATTATGATCCCACATCCTGTCGATACTTATTCGTTGGTATTGCTCAGGGTCATGTTTTTCTCAGACCGTTAATGACGTATTTTCACTAAGTACGTTGGATATCTACTGATTGATATATTAGTCAGGGAAACACTCAGCAAAGATACCAGGCTTATAATTGGGTCATCAGTTACGGCATAATCAAAGATACCAGGCTTATGATTGAGTCATCAGTTACGGCAGAATCAAAACAGTTGGAAGGCTAGATCCAATACAAAGTGAATAGCAAACAATCAGTAATTCATAATCTACAAAATTGCTTGTATAAAAAAAATACACTAGGCCTAAATCGTTAAAACTAGATTTGAACTTGCTTTCAGTAACTGCTCACAATCTTAAATCTATGTTATTTGATTCTTTGTTATTTAATTTTTGTCGTACCGATCTGATTAGTTTATCGTATATAACTCTTTTATCCAAAGTAAGGATAAGGTTGAACACTCACAAACGTGTTTAACCAAGCACTATTCTTCCGTGTTTGTCCCAAGTGAAGAGTCTATATTCTGTATTTAAACTGGTGTCGTAAGTGTCTATCTGCATATTGGGGTATTGTTTTAAGCATTTTTCAGGCCTTTTGTTTCCTCTTTTTGAATGTTCCACAATTCGTTCATGCTGGGGTCGTTTATAACTTACCATACGGTATGGGGTATTCCCCGTTGTTGATGACGTACGGTGACCTGTAGTTGTGTACATCCTCGTTCTCTGGTCTCTGTTTGATATTTGTTTAGTTGGCTATCACACCACATCTCCTTATTTTTATTTATCTAGGTCAGAATGAACACGTTTAAACAACGTAAAAGACATCTTACTGTAAATGAACGGCCTATAACAATAGAGAATGTCTATACATTATGTGTAAGTAATCGTGTGTAAAGTTATATGTCTCAAATGTTGTCTATTGTCATTAGTATTAACAAACCTTAAAAAAATCTACTTACTGTCTGAACTTTGTTCCATAAAAAAGACAGAAGATACCGTCAGAACAACAGATGACTTTCGAACTCGTCACTTTCCAGTAAATTTCCTGTCACAATGATTATATTATTACGTCACAGTAAGAGACGATTGTTCGATGACGTCGTAAACGACGATTGACCTTGAGTCAATCAGTGTAACTTGTTCACAAAACGCAACTGGAGATTGGTGTACACAAAGTAAAAAAACAAAACAAACAGAGCAAAAATTACCCCCCCCCCCCCCCCCCCCCCACCCCCAAAAAAAACCTGGAGGGATCACATGTGCTCTGAAAACCTAAGATGATTTACGCACTGTCATTCCATTGTTATCGTTTTGTGGTTGAATATCAACATCTTCTGATTTTGTATAGAAGAAATTAACTAATCTTTTTTTGTCATTCAATATATCGCATGAACACGTTACATCATGGCAGAAACAAGAGGTAACACAGTTATATTTTCCCAAAAAATTTTGAAATTTGAACTTTTATTCTAATTTGTTATTATTTTGGTTGTATACGTATTGCATATAAGAAAATGAACAATACAAATGCTGGTGTCCACTGAGTCATCTTTCTTCATAACTTCGATTCTACATCAAGCAGGTTATCGGCATTCCAATGGGAACCAACAGTGCACCTCTCTTGGCCGACCTTTTCTTATTTTCCTATAAGTCGAAGTTCTTTCAGACACCTGTAAAAAACAAGAAGACAAAAGATGCTAGATCATTTAATTTTAATTTCAAGTATATTGATGCTGTTTTTTCCATTGACAATCCAAACGTTTCTGATTGGGTCCCATTAATATATCCTTCTGAACTAGAGATTAAAGAAACTACATATACAGCTTCTTTTCCTTTCTCATTACTACACATTTACCTCTAATTTGACAACAGCGATCATCTAAGTACCAGAATCCATGAGAAACGAGACGATTTCAATTTTGACATGATAACTTTCCCTCACTTCAGCACCAATATACCAGCTTCACCCGCGTATGGATTATACATTTTCAACTCGTACGATATTCAAGAGCTTGTAGCTGCTACTCAGACTTTTTAAAACGCCATCGGTGTCTGAGGAACAAATTGATAAGCCAGGGTTTTGTCAAAGAAAGTCTCGTCTTTTTTCTCACAAAGTTCATGGAAAGTTTCAACACCTAATAAATAAATATTCAGTGTCTTCCTCACATTTAAAACACGGTGGTCTTTCGTTATAGATTTTATGAGCTAAAGTTGTGTATCTTTTTATTTACTTTACTAGTTTCACTTTATATGTCTCCGTGCTACTATGTTACTATTAGTCGTATGGCTTTCAACGTGATAAGGTATTTATGCATCCCGCTTTCGTGTTTTTGTCGTTGTGCGTTCCAGGAGCAGGTATATCCTGCGGTGCGATTCAGACGCAAGTTGTTTCAACAATGTTATTTTCATTTTGTTTACCCTTGTATTTATATTTTAGTTAATTTGTACCTAATCGAGAAAGTTTAAACTGTAAATGGTATGTACCTTCGTCTACAACAACTTTTTTGTTAGTGTCTTTGTTAAATTCATTTTGTTTGTTTTAACTTTTTTAATTAGTTGTGTTGTATGTCTGTGATGTATATTTACACAGTTTTGGCTGCTGGATGATCCCAATTATTGTCAAATTAACTTATTATGTCTGTTTGTATTGCTCACCCGATTTTGTCCAAAAAAAAACAAAACTATAAACAACTGTCATATAAGTGGGAGGTTTAGATAGCAATAAAACCAGGTTGGTTCGAAAATACATAAAATAACACCATAACAAACACAATCTTATGTTCTTGTACGTGTCTACACTTTTTGTGGCGTTGATAAATTCGTGTGACGCACAGTTTATAATTCGTTTGTGGTGTCCTGGTGTGCTGTCGTAGATTCATGGGAGGTGTTCGTTGTTATTATGTGGTTAACATGTTGTAATGTACTATTATATTATTTATTTATGTGTTGCTGTGTTCTGAGTGTTCTTGCATTTATTTGTACTGTATTCCTGTCACGTAATATTGTCATTTTAGCTGTATTTTTAACATTGCCATATAAGCGGGAGGTTTGGCTAGCCATAAAACCAGGTTCAATCCACCATTTTGTCTTAAAATGTCCTGTACAAAGCAGGAATATGGCAGTTGTTACCAAATAGGCCTATTCAATGTATGTTGACGTTTGTTTTGTTGCAGTTCAGTGTTTCTGTTGTTCCGTTGTTTTCCTCTTATAGTTAATGCGTGTCCCTCGGTTTTGGTTTGTGACCCGGATTTGTTTTCGCTTAATCGATTTATGACTATTGAACAGCGGTATACTACTGTTGCTTTTATTTAACCCGCCATTTTCTTTAGAAAATGCCTGTTCCATGTAAGGAATAAAACAGTTGTTTTCCATTCGTTTCGTTGATTGATAAAGTCTAACGTTTGATTTTGTCAGGGTTTTTTTCCTATCCTTTTTTTTTTCTTAATTAGAAATAAGAAAGGAGTCACTTTGATAAAAACAAAATAATAATTTCAATGATATTTATTTTCTCTACTTATAAATTAAGTTATGTTCTTTGCTCAATTGCCTGCAGAATATTTTACCTTAATATATTTTCTTTTAAAATCTTCATGTTTGCTGTCTCTCAGTGGGCCTCTGAATTCAAGAAAGAATAATTGAAAATATTGAATTCAGATCTATTCTCTGTTCTCACGTCCGTAAAAAAAGCTCGATCCATTTGTCCCATTTTACATTAATTTAACAAGGAAATATGATAGTTGTATGAAACCAGTATGAAGATATTATGACAGCTAAATAACTGACTTAATTGATTGGTGATTGCATTACAACTAAAAAACATAATTGGTTTGTTGGTAAACTATCTAGATGTTAAAATGCAATTTGTGTCTGCTCGTGTTCTAAAGTTACCTCCGTAAACTGAACCTATTGTTGTCCAATTTACGTTCAAAAGTATAATAAGCAAATCTGATAGTTATATAAATACATAGCTAAATTACAACCACCTAATTGTTCATAGTACAATTTGTCTCGCCTATCAATAAACAGATCCAATTAATGTACAAAAGAAATGAAGAAGTTACACAAGGACACACACCACAATTGATAAATTAGGCGCTAGAAAAACATATTCAGAAAAAGTTTCATACTAAAATTCAGACACAATGACTTAACCGACTTAACTTAATGGAAAAGCAAGTCACTTTTGTCACGAGCACTTTGTTCTACTGATCTAGGGTGTGACTGTGAATGTAATACTATCAATTGTATCCCTAGAGTATCTCTATATTAAGATACATAGCGTACTAACTAAATTCAATAAAAAAAGTACAGTGGACATTTTTTCATTTATCTTTTTTTGCTTTTAACATACATTCAAGGGAGACGAGTTTTAATCAATGTGTATATTGGCTGAACAAGAGAAATAAAATTTCATGAAAACAATTTAAAATACAAATTCAACTTATTTTGCATCTCGACGCCATTTAAAATTTGTTCTTCATATACCATTGAATCATCTTTAAATGCTGTTTCATGTACTAGAGTGAATATTCACTAGGCTTATAAAGTTTTTGGGTAGTTTTTATAAGTAAGACATTTCATACTTAACAAATGGTAC